GAGATGCTGGGCTGGGCTCTTGCCTTCGGAAGTGTGCGGTTTGTTAGAAACACAGCCTGCCAGGGTGCGGGCGCGGGGCTGAGTGTGCATCTGTGTGTGTGTGTGTGTGTGTGTGTGTGTGCGCGCGCGCGTGCGTTTGAAGCTACTACGAATTTGCTGGCTCCTTTATGCAATACCCGTCCTTTATAACCACTGAAACCAACTAAAAATCCACCCTCAAAATCCATTCCAGCTTGCACAGGACAGCCTCGCGAGCTCTCGGCGTGTGTCTACCACCATTAGACAGCCTTTTGCTTCCACTCTTATTTTTAACAAGCATTCCCTATAATTAAGCTCCGCCTTATTTCAAAGAGTCAGATCTGAAATGAACAAAAAAGGGCTGACTAGAGAGAGAAGTCAATTTTCCGTCCACGCTGTCAACGGACATAGAGAGGACTCACTTCAAGAACAGATTTCTGCATATAAGCATCCAAGGAAGGACACAGGATTCAACGCTTTGTAAAAATAATAATAATAAAAAAACCACCGTCCTGATGCGGTTAAATGTTTGAAAAGACAAAATGGAAACGGCACCTGGGGTTGCACTAAAAGACTTTGGAAGTTACAGGCTCGAACCCGTCGGTAGAGGCATGAAAATTTATTCCAAAACTCCATGAAATATAAAGGAAGGGATGGCGGTGTTTTACACAGAGCTCCACTCAGGAGAAGTACTAGGGTGGGGTTTCCCCTCCAAATTGTAAGAACTATGCAAATCAGTGCTAGCTTTCCAAATAAAATAAAGGTTTTTCAATAATTAGAACAAACTATGAAGGTATTGTGCATTTCTGTTTTATGTAGATAATAAAATATTACTTTAACATAAATATATAAGGATCTCTGCGTTTTTATTTTTCCCCACAAGCACATCCAAATGTACCAAAACAAAGTATTTTTAAAGAGATTGAACCAAAAAAAAAATTACATCCCATATAGATTTTGTTCACCTACTCATTTAAAGCTACAGAAAAAACAGTTTCCAGAACCTGTTTGCTTTAAAAGAAATAAATATACATTGAGGCAGGCCACTTAAAAATGATATGAAAATATTTCCCTGGGTAGCATTTAAAAAAAAAAGAAAAAATAGACAAAGAAAACAGTTAAACTATTTCTGCATTTCAAAGGACAAATATTAAACATATATACATAGTGGTAAGGTTTGCGTGGTAACTTTTTTTTTAAGTAAACCTATTTAGAGCTAGAGGATCTTCTCAGGCATCCTCTGAACCCCGTTTTCTGACCTTACACACATATTAATAAGTGTCTGAAAGTTCATTTCCTCCCTTTACCACTGGATCTGCCCTGATCTGAATCGCTTTCCTAGGAACTGGTCCTCAACACATAAAATAGCAAGCAGCTCAATACATCCAAAAAAACAAAAACCCAAAACAAAAAACAAAACTCAGTGCCCATATCATTGTGACAATCGTTGGAAAAATAGAAAGTAAAAAAAAAGGCAAAGAATATGCGTTTTAGAAATCAGCGTTTGTCTTAACAAGGGAAGGGGTAAAAAGAAAAGGAAAGAAAAAGAGAATCAGCTGTCACAGGCGCTTTAGAAGACAGTAAGAAACACATTGTAAAGCCTTAAGGACTGGATGCACTGTTTATAGGATCGATCAGCGAGAGAATCTGTCCATGTTTTCCTCATAATGGTCGAAAATTCAACTAAGCAAACTTTTTGGATTATAAACGATGTCCCCCCCCACTACAGCGCCCTTTTGTGCTGACTAAAGAATTCATTTGCGAATGTGTAACTATCACACTTTAAAGTCCCTCGTGTGTGTGTGTGTGTGTGATGGTGTATACATTCACACACACACACAGACATGCACACATTGTTTCAACTTCTCTCTCCAATGTTGCCCTTTAGAGCTTTGTGTTTTGGGCAAGTTAACAGTTTCCTACCGAGATTGTGTTGAGAAATGCATTTTAAATCTCTCAAGAAAGGGGCCAAAAAAGAAAGCATTGAAAATCTCCCTTTTTCTCTGTTGTTTGGGTTTTTGTTTTCCTTCATTTCACTCCCCAGTGAGCGAGCCAAGGCTGGCTAAATTAAGCTGGTCTATTCGTGCAATGTATTATCCTGCAAACTGAGCAGAGGGCGCGAGGTGCTAAAAGTGAATAGAAAAATAAATATGGAAAGCAGCGGAAAATGAAATGCTGTACACTTAGGCAGGCAGAACCGTGTCCTGTGTGTTTATAGCTACATATAAACACACACAGGCACACAGAGTGCAGGTCCTCGGTTTCTAGCTTGATGATGGAGCAGCTCAATGAAACAAAGTTTAGAGGCTGACATCAGCCCAATGCTCCCGTGCGATGCAATGATGAACGCTGAAGGCACACACAGGACTCGGCGGATGGGGTTGCTACAGCTAACTGCTCCTCTACCCCCCTGGTCCTCGCCAAAGTGCCACTTTCTTTCTGTTGGAAAACTCCGGGGATGGTATTTTTACCTCCACACTTCCCCCCGTAGCTCTTTCACAATGGGCCTGGCTTGCTAAAATGAAGCACTCGGTCTCTATTGAGTTCTCTTTGCCTTCCCCAAGCCTAAGAAACACTGCCTGAAAATGAAGTTTACTTTGTGGGCTGGCATTATTCTCCCTTCTCCAAACTGGACTCTCGCCCTTCAAGCCGGGCATTAAGCATCTGCGAGAGTCACATCGCTTGAAAGTGGAAGTTGTTTGTCTTTGTACGTGTGTATACATACATATATATACATATATAGATATATTTCTATAAGAGAGAGGATACATACGCGGTGGCGTGTCCCTACTTGCCCCATATAGATATATCTATATATCTATATCTATCTATATATATGCAGATATATATACACATACATATATGTATATATAATGTATACTACATATACATATATCTGCTATGGTAAAAGGAGAAAATAAACATTACACATATTGAAGAAGACTGGTTTATAACAGAAATTCATATATACACATAAAGAAAGCAAGGGCTGTAACACAGTAATATAATTGTCGACTGGTCAAGGGTTGGCTAACGCTCACCGTGGAAAATGCAAGTCATTTTCAAAAACAAGGCGGGGGGGGAAAGAAAAGAACAGAAATGAATTTGTTTCTGTAAACTTCCATTTTCTTGCAGTGCAAATGTATCCGGTTAAATACTGTCTACCTCCAAAGGGGTTTCTTTTTATTATGACTAGCGTTATTTTACTCCTAAGAGGGATGCACAGGAAATAAACACAGTAGCCATGTGCCAAATACTGAGCATCGCTCCCAAATTAAAGCTGCCTTTGTGCTTAGCAGGGCTTGGGGCCGATTCCTGGCGCTTTCTGGCAGATCTTTTCTTTTTGTTTTTGTTTTTAAATATATCTATCTCCTCTCTCTCTCTCTCTCTCTCTCTCTCTCTCTCTCTCGCTTGCAATTAATTCAGCTTTTGCAAAACACTTCTCAGTGCCTGGCGGGCTGTGTGTAGCTAGCTGCCTGCCTGGTGGCTGTGCGCGCGATACTCACTCCCACTCCATTGCATGGGCACTCGCCTGTAAAGGTCAAAACACATCATTACACCTGCTACCGCTCAGAGGATATATAGTCCAGCGCAGCTGCTCAGCGGTGTGTGTGTGTGTGTGTGTGTGTTTGCGTGTGTTTAAGAGAGGGGGAAATAAAATAAAATTAAAAACGAGAAGAATCAAAAGTTGGAGGAGGAGGAGGAGGGGGCAGCCCCCCGGGCCCTCCCCCCGCTGCGAGTTCACTGCACGGGGGTCTGCACCCCATGGTGCGGTGGCGTGTCCCTACTTGCCCCATAGACATCCTCGGCTCCCGGCAGAGTCCCTCCCGGGGGAGTCATGCGTTTCTCTTTCTGTCTCCTGTTACAAAACCACACTCTCACCACCTCCTTCTCCAGCTGTAGGCTGTCCGCCAGCGAGGTGATCTCCTGGGCGGAGGGCTTGGGGCACTTGAGGAAGTGGCTCTCCAGGGCGCCCTTGACGCTCACCTCGATGGAGGTGCGCTTTTTCCGCTTGCGGCCCTGCGCCGCGATCTTGTCTATGCTGGTGGGGCTGCCCGAGGACGAGTCCGCCTCCTCCAGCCACTTGTTCAACAAAGGCTTCAGCTTGCACATGTTCTTGAAGCTGAGCTGCAGGGCCTCGAACCTGCAGATGGTGGTCTGCGAAAAGACGTTCCCGTACAGCGTGCCCAGCGCCAAGCCCACGTCCGCTTGGGTAAATCCCAGTTTGATCCGGCGCTGCTTGAACTGCTTGGCGAACTGCTCCAGGTCGTCCGAGGTCGGCGTGTCCTCGTCCGAGTGCGGGTCGTGGCTGTTGACGCCGCCGTGGTGCTGCTGCTGGTGGTGCGGGTGGTGCTGGTGGTGGTGGTGGTGGTGGCCCGGGTGCTCGCCCAGCTCCGGCGTGTCCCCCCGCACCAGCCCCGGGTGCACCAGGCTCTGGCCGCCGGGCGGGGGGCTCAGCATGCCGTTCACCGTGAAGCCCCCCGGCTGCGAGTAGATGAGCGACTGCTGCTGCTGCCCGCCGCCCATGGACGGCAGGTGGGCGGCCGTGGTGGCGCCCCAGGCCCCCGGGTGCCCCTGGTGCGGGGGGCCCAGGTGCGGCGG